AGTATTATCTTTTACCATGCCTATTATATTAGTCAATTGACTCAAACTTTCAAACAATAAACTAGCAAAAAAAGTTAAGCAGCTCAAGTAGAAAATATTTATTTCAAATTAATTATACATAAATCGAAAGGTTGCATCCTAAGAAAACACTTCTTATGTATTGTAACAAAAACAATTTCCAAAAAAAAATAATAACCACATACAAACCTCCGGGTAAACTCACAACTTGACAAGGCGAAGGCTTTGAAATGACAAAGATGAAGCTAAAAAATCATAACGAAAAGGGCAACAAAATTAATCAATTGGCTTAACGTCTCTGAGATGTTTAAGATGATGAATCAACGCCGTTAAAAGGACAACTTAGAACGGATTAACTTATTTGTTCTATAATTGTAGAGCAATTTGGTTATGGAGAACCAATTATTTTAATGGTTTGGTAAATAACCAGTTTATATAAATAAAATACAGTTTCATATGAAACCGATTTTTAAAAATAACCGGTTTTTAGAAGGTGTAGCAGTTTGGTTATGGATTGGTTTAGTTCTTTTGGACATTTTGAACACCCCTACCTATACCTTCCTCCATCAGTTCAAATGAAACTTTTAGTAACATAAATCTTGAGAGAACGAAGAGCAACTTTTTTTATAATTTTAAAATAATCCAATTGTTTTTCTACCAATCACTCTCAAAACAACATAAAACAATTTCTATAAGAATCATTTCGTCTGAAGAGTTCCAAAACAATGAAGATTCTTGCAAAAAAATAGTTGGTTAACTACCTATAATCGGGAGAAACAAACGACTACTTATAAAAATAGCACAATTCATTAAAAATCGATTTTGAATTGGTTAAAAAATCGATTTTGAACTTGATAACCGGTTTATGGTTCATAACCGGTTTTGATTTAAAACCGATTTTGAATTAAAACTGATTTTAAATCAAAACCGGTTATAAACCATAAATCAGTTTTGGAACCGGTTTCAAACCGGTTTAGAAAATTAAAAATTAGTTTTAAAAGAAGAAAACTGGTTCGGTTTGAAAACAAATTGTTTAAAACCAGTTCGTTCGGTTTTTGTTAAAATCGGTTATGAACCGCTTTATGCACACCCCTACTTGTTCTTCTCTGAAGTAGGGTCAGTTGCTATATTAGATTCAGATTCTTGAGCATTAACATAGTGGTATCAGAGCAGTTTCTTAGGAAAACTTGTGGAATATTATTTTGTTGTGTGAGTTGCTTTGTAGTTGTTTTAGGAATTCACTGTGACTACTGCATGTGTGATTGTGATTACTGAATGTGAACCTGGTCAACTCATTTCTTTGTGTAGCATGTGTAGTATTATGACGAGAGCCCGAGGGAACCCTGAGTCAAATGCTGCTAATGATCCATCAAATCATGTTTTGGCGGCTTTGGTGAGAAATCGTGGTGGCCAAGAGGCAATGTTGGTGGACAGTCTGATCCCGTGACAACTACAATGGCAGCCATGCAAAGGGAATTGGTTGCTAGTCGCCTGGCTAATGAGATCTTATTAAAGATTAGTCAGGATTCTCATACCACTATCACTACTAGAAAATGCTGAAATTGTGACGGAAATTTGCGATGAAAAATAAACCGTCGCAAATTGCGACGGAAATTGCTACGAAAAATCAATCGTCGCAATTTGAGACGGAAATTGCGACCGTAAAACAATTGCGATGGAAATATGTCAAAATTTTGGTCACTACAAAATTGTACGCAATTTCCATCGCATCTTCGTCACAAATTACGACGGAAATTATTTCAGTCGCAAAAATGAAAAACTTGCGACGGGTGTTTATGACGGAAATTTTTACGACGGGCAAACCGGTTGCAAACCTTGGGTGCAAACTTTGCGACAGCTATGAAAGTTAATCCGTTGCAATTTGCAATAGACTTTGCGACGGTATTATTAGATATGATTTGTGACGGATTTTGCGACGATATTCCACTTGTGTTTTGCAACGGAATAACATTCCATCGCAAATATTGAAATATAATTTTTCTTAATTAATAATTTTATATATATCTTCTATCAATAACATATAAGCAACTGACCATAAAAACTGTTGTGCAATTTTGCGATGAAAATATATCTGTCCCAAATTGTGATGGAAATTTTCCATCGTAATTTGAAAAATAAGATTAGTGGGCTTTCAAAGTTTCAAAATTCAAAAATATTGCGAAAATTTGCGACCGAAAATATATCCGTCACAAAAAGTGACAGAATTTTTCGTCGAAATTTGAAAAATAAATTTAGTGGGATTTTAAAATTTTGAAATTTAAAAATATTGCGCAAATTTGCGACCGAAATTATATCCGTCCCAAATTGCGACGGTATTTTCTGTCGCAATTTGAAAAATAAAATTAGCGGGCTTTGAAAATTTTGGAATTCTAAAATGTTGCGAAATTTTGCGACGGGATAGATATCCATCACAAATTGCGACGGAACATTTCCGTCACAAAAACGCTTATAAGTACAAAAATTAACTTCACATATTTCATTTCTCTCATTTCTCTTTCATCTCCATTCTCTTTCAATTTTTTCTCCATTTCGTGAAAATCAAACATTCATTATATCACTTTTATCTCCATTTCACTTTACCATTTTCATCTTTCCTTCCATATCTTCCTTTCCATGGCTCCCTTCCATCTCCATTTCATCTGTATTTTTAGGTTCTCTAAAATGATGGACAAGCCCAAGTGTCTTATTCACTTCTCAAACTCATTCTTCATGGTAGCCATTGTTATCACCTATTTTTATTTGTGTTAGAATATTTTTTTTATGATATAATCTTTGATATTTTATTTTTCTTCAAATTTGTTGTAGGATGTAAAATATCAAGGTTGGTTGCTTCAAAATGTAAGTCCCATGTGAATCCTTTTATGTATTTCTTTAAGGAAAAATATAGTTTTTGAATTTTTGTGTGGTTCATTAATATTGAAAATTTATATAAATTTAATTTTTATATAGTAGAGTCTGGAAAATAAATAAATTTAATTTTTTTGTTGAAATACTAGAGTTTTTTGTGATATTTATTAAAATTTAAATCTGAAAAATAAATATTTTTTTTTTATTTGTTCATAATTTTGCGACAGAATTTGTAGAACATTCCATCGCAAATTCAACAGTTGACTGCGATGGTATTTCTTATTCCATCGCAAATTGCGACGAAATTTTTAAATATTCCGTCGCAAATTGCGACGGTATTTTTCTAAGTCGTTGCATATTTTTGACGCATTTTTGCGACGGTATGTTAATATTTTTCCATCGCAAATTTGCGATAAAAATTTGGGACGAATTTTCCGTCGCAATTTGCGACGGTATCAGTCTACATTCAGCTCAATCTTTTGCGACGAAAAATGTTGTTTTGCGACGAAAAAATCCATCGCATTTTGCGATGGAAAATAATAAGCCAAAATGCCGTCACAAATTTTGCTTGCGACGAGGGTTTTTGCGACAGCTTTTTTCCATCGCAAATTCCGTCACAAATTGTATTTGCGACGGAAATTGCCCGTCTCAAATAGACTATTTTCTAGTAGTGTATAAATGATATGATGACTGAGTTAAGGGCAATGAAGGGTGCTCGAAATAAGAATAGATCACTCAATCCTCTTCTTCATACTGTTACGCCTACTCCACATACTCTCCATGAAGAAGGTGGAGCGGGTAATACTGAGGGTAAGCCTAGTCACCATACTGGTGGTTCTAGTCATCACACTATGATTCATCAGCCCCATGCAGAGTTTGTTGGTGGGCCAGATCCCAAAGAGAGAAGATTGGCTACTTTTCGAAAACACAAATCTCCATCCTTTAATGGATGTTACGACCCGTTGGTGGCAGCGAAGTGGCTTCAAGCAATAGAGAAGATCTTTAGGGTCATGAGGTGCCAAGACCCGCAAAAGCTGATTTATTATGTATACATGCTTAAAGGTGAAGCGGATGACTGGTGGTCCAATACGATGCAGCCTTTGGAGGCGGAAGGCCATAACATATTAATAGTAAACAAAATCCATTAAAACACGACATGTACATCAGAACCACACACAGGTCATAAGAAAACAGAGATCAGCATCAACAAATGTTGAAAACAAGCAAACTCCCAAGTAGTAAAAATGGAAGAAGAAAAAGGACTCATAGTTGAAGAATTTGGAATGTTAAGATCAGATAGGAAAGATCAATGAAAATAGCCACCTGAAAAGTTATCTGCAATGGCTCCTCAACTAGCATCATTGGAAAGAAAAAATTCAAAAAAAAAAGGTAAGAAAGCCAGAAAAAAAGATAAAGGAAGATGAAAGAGAGAGAACATGATAAAGAGAAGACCTTGATCCATGAGAGCTTTGAGATGGCTGAGGGCATCCCGTGAAACAACCTTCATTTGTTGATAAAATCACCAAAAGCAAAAACCCCATAATTGAATTTTTGTTTGTAGCTTTAGCTTCACTCAGAGTTTTTGCCTTTCCTTCCTTCACTCACTATGTTACTGTTGTTACAGTGCAGCAAACCAGAAGTTTCATAAAAATGGAGGAAACATGACCGTGGAGGTGGTGCTGCACGGAGGTAATGGAGCGCGATGTTGGTGTTTCATGGGGGTGGTGGAGCGATTTTTGAAGTGAGAGAAAAAAAAATAACTACCTCGCTGAGAGTAATATTTTCCTTATTATATTTCATATTATAGGAGATACAATTATCTCTTTATATATACAAATATAATGAAACTTATATATATATATATATTTTTTGTCTTCAGATGCTCTACTTGGGACTTATATACTTTGATGTATATGTAAGAAAAAAAATATTATCTCCTACAAGAAAAACATTAAATCAATAAGAAAAGAGTCTATGACGTGGCAAGACCAACAACCGTTGATGAAGATCAAACGTTGGTCAGCATCGTGGTAGGAATCGCACTGTTAGTCTGTTGCTGCACTACGACACTACCCTCAGAAGAGAACGTCAATGTAATAATCGGTTCCTACCTCAAGCTGAAGCTACCTTTCTCTGCAACAAACAACAAACCCCATCACGCATACCACAAAACACTACTCTTTCTATCTTTCATTCCTTCAATCCCATTCCCACCTTCCATTTTTCACTTCCCTCCACGCCGTAACTCTCTCTCTCTCTCTCTCTCTGCTTCACAATTCACACAACAAACTTTTTATTATTGTTGTTTGATTCAGATTTCAATCCACAGTAGCCATGGCTGAAGGTATTTGTGTATAGTTAAATTCCATATTTGAGTGGATTTTAATCTAAGTGTTTCATGGGGTGTTTGTTTCTTCTTTTCAAGTGTTGTGCGTTGTGCTCCGACTCAAGTTTAAACTTTTATGTTCTTTTTCTGTTGATTCGCCACTTGGGGTCTTTCCTTTTGCCGTTGATTTGCAGAAGGAGATAATGGGTCCCCAAAATCTTCATCATTGACCCCGTATGAAGAAGCATTGGATGCCTTGTCATCTTTGATTACTAGACGCACTCGTGTTGGTGATGTCAATATGGAGGAACGATTCAACGTGCTATTTGAGTACCTCAAGGTACAGTGTTTCTCAATTTGGTCTGAATATATTTTGTCTCTTTGTTGAGAAATGTCTAGTTGTTTGGTGATGCTAACAATGGCGTGCCGTTGATTCCATAGATGCTTGATTTGGAGGAGGCCATTTCGAATATGAAGATTATCCATGTTGCTGGTACCAAAGGGAAGGTACTTTCATTCAACTTCTATGGTTGCTTGGAAATGAAGTAATGTTAAGAGCCGGTGAAACTTAGGCTTGCTGTTATTGTACCACATAAACTTGCTAAGGCTTTAAACTTAATGCTTTTGAAAATTAACTTCATGTCTTTTCTGAATTTATGTTCTATACTGTTCAATGAGAGGTTCAGACTTTTGCAATGATTGGTGTGGTGGGTAATTTGTGGTATCTTAGACAGAGGAGTAACTATTGATTTCCATTTTCATGTATATTTATAGATTTCCAACAGTATTTTTACTCTTGCATTTATAATGATACAAATTATTCTTTTGCACTGTGCTTCCCCAGGGATCTACATGCACCTTCACAGAATCTATATTACACAACTGTGGTTTTCACACTGGGCTTTTCACTTCTCCTCACCTAATTGATATCAGAGAAAGGTTTCGTTTAGATGGGTGAGTATCTTAGATGCATAGATTGATTTTATTTCCATTTACTATTAGGCAGTCAACTTGTGTTATTTTGCATATTGAATGCATTCTCTTTTTTCAGTCCTCATTAAGTGACTGTCCTTTGCTTTGTTAAGGGTGCATATTAATTAAGCACGAATTCTGATTATTTTGTTAATAGTGGAGTATTTTTGTAACAAATTAATATTTCACGTTGGTAGCTACTGCAATATCATCATTTTTGTACTTCTATGTTTTACCAATTTTCGTGGACCTACTTAAATACAGTATATGCTTCCTTTTTAATTCATTTTTGCAGCATAGCTAGTGCGCTCTGATTTATTAGCATTATTCTTTTTGCTTCTGCAGTGTGGAAATCTGTGAAGAGAAATTTTTAGCATATTTCTGGTGGTGTTATGATAGACTAAAGGTATATTTCTATGAATAAATACTTCAATATAATTTTTATGGGCAAAAGTTTGGTCAAGTATAAATCCAGGTTATTCCTTTCCCCCATTTTCACTCAACAGAACAAAATCACCTTTGTACTATTTGTGAACTGCTGGTAACTTCCTTCCAACTTAGCTTTACAGGTCCAGTTACAGTTGATAGTGACAAGATGGATATTTTCTGCTAATTGTGTTGAAGTTTTGAAGCTATTTCATTTTTCTTCCTTTCTGAGTTATTGCATGGATTTCAGAAGATAATTGATTAGGAAAATACTTAGATTAATTGAAGTGGTTAGTGTTAATATTTTATCAATCTGAGTGTCATCTGGAACAGTAAAAACAATGGTTCTAATTGTCACTGATGGTTCTAGCATTATCAACTTCTGTTCTGTTCTGTGCTCTAACAAGATGTTCTGTCTTAAGAATTGCAATTTTGGTGTTGTATAACAGTAATACCATATTAAGTTCATGCATGCCTGATGATCACAGTGGTCACTTCAAAGTGGTGTTTACAGACTTTTATAACACTATTTTTATTGATGTGCTTAGTGCTTACTCATAAGTGGTTTCTTATTTTGGCTGTGCACAGGAAAAAACTGATGACAATGTTCCAATGCCTACCTTTTTTCACTTCCTTGCGTTACTTGCCTTCAAGATATTTTCAGCAGAGCAGGTTTGAACCCTGTGCTTTAAATTCCTATGCGGACTTGTTCCATATTCATACTAAATTTTGTGTATTTTACTGCTAATGAATAAAAGTTACTTTGTTTTCAATTTTTATGCAGGTAGATGTTTCTATAATGGAGGTTGGATTAGGTGGCAAATTTGATGCAACAAATGTGGTAAGCTTAATTGTCATTTCAGCATAAATGTCTTGGTCTCTGGCAGACTACCACTATAAGACTGCTTGGATATTGATATTTTCTACGAAGTGAATATATTGGAACAAGCTCATGTAGTTGTTTTGATATTTCAGGTGCAAGCACCTACTGTGTGTGGTATAACTTCCCTTGGGTATGACCACATGGAGATTCTTGGTTAGTGATCTTTTTCTTTTCTTTTTCTTTTCTTTTTTTTTTGGTATTTCGGGTAACTACTAATTTAATGCATATATATTGATAACTAGAATCATGAAATACCATGAGATTAAAAGAAAAATCAAATTTATATGGGGTATGATTTTTGTTGCCCGTGCAACAAGAATAATAAAAAAGAAGGGCCTGTGATCTCTTTTTTCATAATATAGTACTAGGAGATATGTAACTTGTAAATTTTGAATAGTTACATAGGTGAATGATGGGACTTTTTCTGTACCTGATTAAATATACAAACTGTTGAATATCATTGTGCTGTAACTTGTCTTATTCTAAGTCATCATATGGTGCAGGGAAAAACGGAAAAAAATAGACCTTCTAAGAAAATTGTTATAATATATATGAAGTATCGGAATATGGTTGAACATCATGTTTCACAGCCACTGATTTGTTTAGCTAGTTGGGTTTACTTCCGTCTGCTGGATTCTACTAACAGGTAATACTCTTGGAGAAATTGCTGGTGAGAAGGCTGGTATCTTCAAGGTAATTCCGCAATTTTAAGATTAAAAATTTTTCTTCTTTTTTTCTGATTTGGAGAGCCCACTACTAGATAGGAGTTCTGTGTCTCACTCTCAACCAATACAGGAGTCACACTCCTGTGTCATTTTCTTTCATTGATTTTTCTTTTAAAGAAGAAAATTTTTGTTGGAAGTTTTTGTATCAACAATGTGCACTTTCATGTGCAGCACAACTGTGATTATATTTATCTTTTCTCTTGCACTTTCCTGTCTTCCCTTTTGTAACTCCCAATGCTGTTTTCACTTTTCTGTCCTCTCTTCCTAAAATTTCCTTTTATTTATTTATTTTGATGTAGCACCGGATTCCAGCATTCACGGTGCCTCAACCTGATGAAGCAATGCATGTACTCAAAGAGAAGGCTTCTCAGTTACATGTAAGTACATTCTTTCATGTGCTTATTTCCTCCGGAATTTACATGAATGAAACATAACTTGGTATAATAATATAAAATTACCATGTCAAAGTCAGATAAGAGAGTACAATTTGGAGCACGTTTGCTTTGCAATAAAATTTCAAATTTATTATGTTTATTAGCTTAGCTCTGCATTGTCTGTAACACTTGTCCAACCAAACCAAAAATTAGAAAAACATTTCACCAATGTTTTTTTTTTTTTTCTAAGTACTTGAGTCTTGAAGTATCCGCTTATATGTACATTACTGAATTTCCTTGCCCAAAGATCTGTCCTATGATTCTGTAAGTACATCTATTTATTCTATCAAAAGGATGATTGTCTTGGAAAGAAGAATTTCTTCAATCAGATTCAACATGCCTGGCCATACTCATAGGGCATTTAATCAAGTTGTGCCTTCATACTCTGCACCTTACATTTGTTAATGATCTTTTGAAAGTCTGGAGATCCATAACATCAAATTCAGAGAGCTATCACGGCCTCCCTCATTGGAGTAGGTTTACTCTTTGGTTTTCATATTCAATCAGCTGAGCAGATTTTACTATAGGTACCTCTTCAAGTGGCAATCCCATTAGATGCCAAATTGCTAAATGGTTCAAGACTAGGGCTTGAAGGTGAGCACCAATATACAAATGCTGGTCTTGCTGTTGCATTATGCTCTACATGGCTAAAGATGACTGGGCATCTTGAAGACACTCATTTGAAACAGCCAGTAAGTTCTAAATGTGAAAAGGATTTCTTTTACAACCTTTTCTTTTGTGTTTATGTCTTGTATTTGTCATGCTGCTGAAGTGACTCATCTGCCTGCATGAAGCAACACACTTTGCCAGAGCAATTCATAAAAGGGTTAGCAACTGCGAGTCTGCAAGGAAGGGCTCAGATTGTTCCTGATCAACTCATCAACAATGAAATCTCAAATAAACTTGTTTTCTTTTTAGATGGGGCTCATAGTCCTGAAAGCATGGAAGCATGTGCAAAGTGGTTTTCTCTTGCTATTAAAGACCAGGACTTGTTCCATCAGAAACCTGATAATTCTAAGTTCTTGGACAAAGTAGTAAAGATGCACCAAGGTGAAAGAGCGCAGAAAAAATCCACACAGGTATACAGATTTGGAATCTTATCATAAGTTTGTTATTGAATGTTCAGCAAATATAAGCTGAGAAATTAGCAGTCAAAATTATATCTATAGAATATAGTTTTCCAGGTGGTTACCTCTGATACACAATGTCTGTTGACTATGTTCCTTGGTCAGAAATTTGAAGAATGTTACTACTTGTGAGGCAAACAAAATAAGTGTAACTGATATTTGTTGGGCAGTAGGAAAAATTGCTTTGTTGAACAGGAATCGTAAGCTCTTGGAAGCGAATCATATGACTCATTTATATAATGATTTTAAACAATGCATATATAAAATCTGTTGAGATAGGATCGAAATGCTAATGTTTTTATCAATCTTGATGCTTTTTCATGGTATTATTTAGTCAAACTGAATAATTTGCAGATTTTGCTGTTCAATTGCATGTCTGTGCGAGATCCTCAGTTGCTTCTTCCTCACTTGATGAAAACATGTGCTGATCATGGTGAGCTATCTCTGGACTTTGCTAGAACATGGTTTCTTCATAATGTCTTAGTACAATAATGATAAAAAATAATCCTTAGATTAATAAATATTTGGCAAATAAGTGGTCTTGACTTCATTCAATTATTTCATAGTTTAGGTCTATCTGGAGAAAAAGTGTTACCAAATGTTTTTTACCACCGACAATTTTTTCTGAACAAGAAATAATCAACTAGATTGAAACTGCAGGTGTCTACTTCCAGAAAGCTCTCTTTGTACCTGGTTTATCAGTGTATTACAAAGTTGGATCCCATGCTTTAACGCCAACTGATTCTAACATTGACCTGTCGTGGCAGTTCACTCTACAAAGAGAGTGGGAAAATCTCATGCAGGGGAACAAAGGTACTGTCTGATCACATGCAAATTATGTGTCCAGAATTCAAATTTATCAATTTTATTCGAGACATCATTCTTTTATTTTTCTAGTTTTTCTATAATGAAGCCCTACTCAGGCCTTGGAGTTGATCACCTAAATTTGACCCTTTAGGCATATAACATAAAGCTAGGTCTTCAAATTATTTTTGCTTTGTGTGTCTCAGTTGGCTGCCTGGCCCATGATTAACTTCAACTGAATTTAATATTTGTACTTTGAGTTTAAGAAATTCTTAGGTGGGCATCGTCTACGGCAGGTACTCTAATTAACAGTTTACATTGTAAAAGCATTCTTTAGAGATATGTACATTTCTAACATGGCTCCCAATTTTATACATGTTATTGATTTTTAGTGCTTACGGTTGACAATACCTACTTAAGAACTTAATTGAGTTCTCAAAATCTTTTGTTTTTTCTCTTGTCATTTCTTTTAATTTAGAGTAATAGACAATTTCAGACCTTAATCTGTTTGGGGTCACTTGGCTTGCAGGCAAGAGTATCAATGCTGCTTCTGAAGAATTAAAAGATGATATGGAAATGAGTACCAGTAATTGTGAGCACAGTGCAGTTTTTTCCTCATTGCCTCTGGTTATCAAATGGCTTAGGGACAGAGTGCAACAAAATCATTCAACTCGTTTTCAGGTAACATTAATGTTATAGAATAATATAAACCATTAAAAAGGTCTTCACCCAACAGCTTAAGCTTTTGAGTTGAATTGGTTCTTTATATGGTATCAGAGTATCGGTGTACCGGGTTCGATCCTCACCGCTCCCCACTTTTTTTCTAGTGGAATTTCTTTCTTGGCACAGGTAGGTGAACCTGTGCATCGTCCACCCTTCAAGCCCAGTGGGCTCTCGTGTGAGGGGGAATGTTGAGATATATAAAACCATTAATTTAGCCTCACCCAAAAGCTTAAGCTTTTGGGTTGAGTTGGTTCTTAACATGATATCAGAGCTTCAGTGACCATAAGGTCACGAGTTTGATCCTCACCGCCCCCCACTTTCTAGTGGAATTAAATAAAAGCACAAAAAGGTAAATCAAAAATTGGGCCTGTGCAATATCCACCCTTCAAGCCCAAGGGGCTCTTGCGTGAGGGGGTGTGTTAGATAATAATATAAACCATTAAAAAAGTTTCACCCAACACCTTAAGATTTTTGGTTGAAATGGTTCTTAACAATTAATTAGGCTGGAGAATGGTGAATATCTAGTAGGCTAGTAGCATTGATCACAGATCACCCCTATTTTGTGAAAAGTTGTACTACCCGAAAGTTATCATGCCCTGAAAAACTTTTGTATAATATCTAAGCAGCAAATAAATCAATGGAAGTGACGTGAACTCATTTTGCTGCAAAACTTTGATTGCTCTCTGTCGTGTTAATCTCTTATGTTCTTACCAAGATAAGAAATTTAGTAACACGCAAAAATATGGCTGACACTTAGACTATCAGGTTAAGAATGTCTTTGTATAAATAATATGAAAGATCCAGCTTAAGTAATCTAAGCCAAGTTGGTTTTTAAGATTTTACTTATTAATGATTGATAGAATAAAGCCACGACCTAGTATAACGTGCTCTTGATACGCTTGATTGTAAGTTTCTTCTATTAGTATTTTTCTTACATGTAAGACATGAGTTAAAAATAATTGCTTTTTGATAATATATGTGTGTGCATGTATAGTATCTGACTGCAATATTTGTCTGGTTGATGCTTCAGGTCCTCGTAACTGGTTCTTTACATCTTGTTGGTGATGTGTTGAAATTAATCAAGAAGTGATACGTTGGACTAATTTGAAAGATTCATTTCCATTCTGATTTATGAAGTAATGAAGTGTCATTACTATTCTTGACTTTATCCCACGGGATATCTATGTCATTCACAGTCCATCAAAGTGCTATTATGACACTTGGTTCGGAAAATGGTAACAGAATGTTGTCAGCATAACATCCTTAGATTTGGACATTTGATACATACGGTCCATTGGTTTACTTCAGCTTCAGTCTGGTGACTTTCTTCTTCATGGGTCTTTCAATTTTCATTTGATTGTAGTTGAAAAAGAAAAGGGTGGATTATGGGAGATGAATAAAGGATAATCCACTTAGGTGGGGTTTATAACACAGGAACATGCACATAATCTCAAAACTTAACGAGTCTATCATGTTTTCTTAAATGTTTGGTTTCCTGTTATCTCTATTGCCCAATCCTTGAATGAATATTCCTCTTGGATTATGCTATATGAATAAAAAAAATAGACAATAAATATGCAACCATAATGTTAAATATAATTTTTTTTTATATAAAAATAATTTAAGGTCTCATATATGTAATTGATTTTAGTACATATATATGTAAACTTTTGTGTGAAGTCTTACAGATTATCCTTCCATGGCCACTTTGGTACGGAGATAAAAATGAGTTAAGAATTTATAGATCAATTTATTAATAAAAAAATTATATTGAAAATTAATACATAAATTTGTTACTTCCCGTTTTGATCTTCTTAGCCTAAGCAATTATCTAGTTTTTTCCTTTTTCACTAGACCAATATATATATATATATATATATATATATATATATATATATATATATATATATATATAAAGAAATTAACGTTTCTCTTGCAGCAATAAATAAGTTTATTTCATGCAATATGAAAACGATGTCATTTTGAGATTTAGAAGAAAAAATTCAAGAAATTTTAATAATATTTATGATATAAAAGCAAAATATATAAAGAAATTAATGTTTCTCTTGTAGCAATAAATAAGTTTATTTCTTACAATATGAAAACGATGTCATTTTGAAAAAAAAAATTTAAGATATTTTAATAATATTTATGATACAAAAGCAAAATAAAAATTTTAAAATATCTTTATTTTTTATTTTTTAAAGGAGAAAATTTTATCTTTTTTTTTTGTAATAAAGAAAATTTTATCTTTGTGGTAAGAGAAATATTTTTCTCATAAAAAAAAGTTCTAATTGCGTTAAAAGAGAGAGCAAATTAGTCTTGATAAAGAAAATGAAAATGCCATTCAAGCTGTCTGGGTGGTGTAGTTGGTTATCACGCTAGTCTCACACACTAGAGGTCCCCGGTTCGAACCCGGGCTCAGACATAATAAATTTTTAAATTTACTCTTCGTTCATTTTTAAAATGGGCTTCATCATAACTAACATCCGTGACCGATCCAGGCTTCGAGTTCAATACTGTTGGGCCCAATAAACTATTTGGCCCCGATTATCGATTTATCGTTTTTGTAGTTTCAGTTTAACTAAATAGGAAAAATCAACGGTTTCTGCTATCTAGGGATTTCCGATTCACGCTGTTGCATTTCCGTTTTCCAATGGCATTCTAAAATCGGATCGGTGTTTTGCATTCAATGGCGGACGAGTCGTACACCACCAGCACTAGCACTAGCCATTTGCTCGGTTCTGTTCCTGTGAGTGTGCGCTCACTGTGCTCGTTCTGTTCTATCTATTATTCCTTCATTTCTTGGTAATATGTGAACAAAACTATGATTAGTTGTTTACTTTTTAGTTCTTCCTTCTCCACTGTGTTTTGGATTATAAAGAAAGTATTAAAGAAATGATACCAATAATATAGTGTTATATTATAGTATTAAAGAATCAGGGAGAAAAAAAAAAAAAAAGATCTGAAAAATTGTGATTATGTCAGTATAGAACTTGCACAGAGTTATGGGCTTTATAGACCTGAATCTCTTTGAGTTTGTAACTGAATCTGTTAGAAGCAGTTACTGGCTCTGTTATTCTGTTAGAGGGTTAGTTACATATGTTAGAAGTAGTTAGGAGATTGTGTTTGTACTTAGTAGTCACAAGACTAAATTGAGGCTGAGTAAGCTTATTCTCTAACAAATTTTAACATTAAAGTTCTCTTACTAGTTTATAATTATGTTATTAATTGAATAAATTAATTAGAAGAGGGAAGAAAAAAAAACTTATGTCATATGTGACAATGGTACTATTTTATTTGTTTGTTAGTTACAAACTATTTCAAATAGATTCTAATTTATTTTATTAATTATGGTTCTTTGCTTATTCCTCTTTGGTGCTGCTCAGGCTGTCATAGCTGAAGAAAAGAATACCACAAACCATGAAGGTATGAAATTATAGCATTTGGGTTTCTTTTCTTTTTTTATATTGAGATTTGTCTTCTTCCCTCTGCTGTTGAAGTTTCAGTCCCCTGAAAAAGTTGCTTATGAACTTACATGTAGTCCCTTATGCAAATATGCAAACTTTCCCTCCCAACAATGGAGGAGACAGAGGACAGGGATATCAAACTCTTGGTAGCCCAACTGGTATGTTATCAAACTTTTTTTTTTTTTTAGTGGCTGTGAGATGGTTCCTTCTTTGTCTGTTCTTTTTTTAAAGAAATGTTTTGGATGACAATAAATTGTTTGCTTGTTATGGTTGTTTCTTGATGACGACAGATGTATACTTTATAAGCTTGAAGTTTTATATACTTTGGCGTATCTTAATTCTTAAGTATTTTTTTGGGAGGAGGTTATGACTTACGAGGAGAAAAAAAACTAAATTTTTGTGATCAGAGTTTGAATAGAGCCTTGCTTGGTATAATACAATACTAAGGAATCGATGACTGGTGTGGAGAGTATTTTTAGTTTGTTTAGTTTTAGCTATCATCGAATTAGATCTTTCAAAGAATATTTTTTATTATGACTTTTTTTTTGGTACAAGATTTTTTATTATTATGACTTTACCCAATTAATAGTTGCATGTCTTGAGTATATGGTTGCAGCAGCTAACATAGTTTGTTTTCTGGATTCTGAACAAGCTTGGTTTCAGTTTCATATTTTGACCAAGAGAATATTCATGATGCTGGTTGAGTCTGTTTTCTGATTAGAGAACAGTTGTATTTGCATTTTGATTGGCACTCGATGCTATACTAATCTCATTTGTGGATCTCTGGCTTGTTCATCCATGCAGAAGCATTTGGGCAACAACCAACAAACAACTGGCAGGGAGTCTTTAATGTCTCATCTTACACACAGTATTTCAATGTGGATACAGATGTTGTCATAAGCAGATTGATAAGTTCCTTGAATCCAGTCGGTGATGACTTTTTCAGCAAGATAGATGCTAACCCTGATTTGTGAGTTCTTTTTAACTCGTGCTGCTATATTTTCAATACTCAAAATAGAGATACTCATTTGGATGAATGTGATGCTTTATTCCTTGGAGAAAAACTGTAATTGAGAATTGAACTGTCACCATAACATTTAGGGCATGTTTGGTGTATAGTATAGGATAAGGCCTGATAGTATAAGACCTGATAGTATAAGACCTGATTGTATAAGACCTGATTAAATTTTAATACTATCCAGCGTTTGGTATGATATTGTATAAGATAATATCCTCCAATATTTTAAAAATTAATATATTAAAAAAATTATTTTGATATATAAATATTGAGATGATATATTAGTTCTTGGGAATTGTATTTGTAATCAATATTAATACATCAACCCCTTATCAGGCCTAATCCACCACTCCTAGGCCGGATTAAGTTATACATCATTTTGATGTATAAATGGGTCATGCTGTATAAGCTTATACTATACAACGGTCACACCAAACAACTGAAAATGTCATAACGTATAGTATAAGCTTATACTATCAGGCTTTATACATCACACCAAACAGGCCCTTATAGGAAAAAATCTGCCGTTTTGCTTCTGCCACCCCCTTTTCTTATTTTCCTCTGTTACAACTTCTATTCAGGTAAGTAAAATAAGGACAGGAACTAGATAATTGGCCTGAAGTATATCAGGTTTTTCATATTAAAGGATTCAAGGTTTCATACAGAGTAATTAAACTACAACCCACAAGGAAGGTTTGTAGGAAAGAAAAAGAATTACACTGAACGGAGAAATAATCAACAAGATAAGCAAAAAGATAGTGCGAAGCACATAAGAGAGGCTTCACTCTCTCCCAATTCCCACAAGGGACCCAACGATCCTCAATCCACAGATAATCCCCCCTTCTCTGTCCTCCTCTCTATTAATCCCCATCACTCTAACTAACTTCCTTCCTTGCTCCTTTCCACGCTTGTATTCTGTTGCGGGCTAATCTGGTCATTCTCAGCATGACTTCCATCCACAGCTGTTAGGCCATCCTCAGTCCCTCTGATTGGGCCGCGCTCTGTGTTGGAGGCCCAATTCTTCCTATTCTTACTCCTTTGATAGACTTGTAATGGATTTGTATCAATCTCATTTTGGTCCGTTGTTCTTTTCACCCACATAAAATTGTTCACTTCCATAACCAGAATTTGAGAAAATGGAAGTCATGTGGTAAAAATAGGCGACAATTTATGCTAGCATAACTTGTTGCTTTATGCATACTTACGGTTCATGGGGATTATAGATATTTATGTTAAGTTGTGGGAGACATGCTGAACTTTTAGCAGATTTTTTTTTCAGCACTCTAGCCCAAAAAGCATAGGAGCATAACTTTCTTATCTTCTTTTTTACAATTTTTCCCTCATATAATGTGTAAAGAACCTTGGGATACACCACCCCAAAAGCTAGCTCAAGGGGTGGGAGTGCCCAAGGCCTTATAAAGGCCATATTAGTTGCCCATCCAATCAATGTGGGACTATATATCTCAACACGCCCCCTCACGCAAGAGCCTTTTTAGGCTAGAAGCGTGGAAATTGCACAGGCCCATTTTTGGTTTACCTTTTTGTGTTTTTTTTTTATTTTAATTCCACTTTTTAAAGCGGGGGACGGTGAGGCTCTGATACCATGTAAAGAACCTTGGGATACACCACCCCAAAAGCTAGCTCAAGGGGTGGGAGTGCCCAAGGCCTTATAAAGGCCATATTAGTTGCCCATCCAATCAATGTGGGACTATATATCTCAACATAATGGAAGCAAATATTGAAATAATTATTTCTACCAATTTCACAAATATATTTGTCCGGCCAGTTTTGGAAAAAACAATTAATGAAAATTTAGATCTTCGAATGTGTTAATCTTGTTGATAACTTCAAAATTTTGAGTGCCTAAAGATGGTTGTTATAGTGGAACTGGGCAATATTTGCCCTCCCTTTCTTTTTTTTTCCTTTTTGAGTTAAAATTATTAAAAACAACCTATACATTGGTGTGGTGAGCCATATTAAATGAGTATCTAATAGTGTGATGCTTTTCCGCTATTATAGGTATGGGCTTATATGGATCTCAACAACGTTGGTTTTTGTACTTGCCTTACTTGGAAATCTTGCCACGTACCTTATGCAAAAGCAAGCAGATAACACTATTTCTTGGAGCTTTGATGTCAGCTATGTAAATACGGCTGCATGGTCTATCTATGGCTATGTGATAGTGGTTCCAATGGCATACTACTTTTTCCTTCAGTATATGGGTTCAAATGCTAACCTCATACGGTTTTGGTGCATGTGGGGGTATTCCCTCACCGTTTTCATCATGTCCTCCGTAAGTTTCTGTTTTCTACGCATGACATATTGTGAATCAATTTTGTATGCACATTACAATATTACATTACATTGCTTAGATTTTCCTTTGCACAAGTACATATTTCGGGTGTGGGGGGATGTGGGCCTAGAGGGGAAATTTGGCCCAGGCACTGCATAAAAGAAGTGAGGCACACCCTCACCACTGGTCAGAGGGCCTTTCAGGTAACCATTAGAGCCGAAGCCCTGGTTGTAATAAGATTGATGGATCAAGGGCCGGTGCATTTTGTTTCACGTTTCTGCTTAGCATAATTTCTTAATATCTGGTTTCAGATTTCATAACCATGACTTCCTTTTCACATATATTTTAAATTGTTATTTATTTTAAACTTCAAACATTATCGTTTGTGTTAAATTATTTTATCATTGGCTAGCTAGTTATGATTTAATTATGTATTGTCTTTCATGTCTTTAAACAATACTTTCTCATGAAATTTTTCAGTTTCTATTGCTTATTCCAGTTGGGATTCTTCGGTGGATTATAATAATCCTTACTGGTGTTGGCTCTGCTAGCTTTGTTGCCTTGAACCTGAGGTCTTTCATAGAAGGAAATGATCTTTCAGTGGCGGTGATTGCTGCATTTTTCTTGCAAATAGCTTTGGCAATCTTCATCAAGGTTTGGTTCTTTGCATAACTCAAAGCGCTGCAGCAGTGAAGAATAAAACCCAAACCACTATCATTGTTACCCCTCACCACTGGCTAACTTTCTAGTTTCTATAAGTGAGTAGCATTGTATGCAACAGAATTGGTTTGTGTATTTTTTATTTTTATTTTTATTTTTTGGATTTCTCAAGGTATCTTCTGTCCGACAGCCGAAGACTAATCACTTTGAGATGGGAGATCACATTAAGTGGTTTGTGTATTTTTAATTTGTTAGATGGATGCAAAAAGAGTTACAAAGTATTATGATTGGTTGTGCTAGGCGGATTAGCTCGGTCTGAATGACCTTATCATTTTGGGCAAAGCCTTGTGAAAGACCAATATTTGGGAAGCCAGGAAGGGGAAGAACAATCATTGGTTGCAATATTTATTTCCGTCTCAATGTTTGAGCTCCGTCCATATTTTTGTATATATCAGATCACTGATTTCACCATCTTTCTGAAAGTGAAAATGCAATATCCCAGCCCATACTTGCACGATGTTATCCCTGGAACAGCGGTTGAGTAGGAAAAGAAAATGCAAAGAATCATATATAGCCTTTAGGGGTGAGGAGGGGAACTTCTACGTCACTGATTGTGTATGCGGGGTATTCAGTATGTCAAGGAGGTTGCTCCGGTTCTCTGGTTTTTTATGAGGGGATAGGTACCTTTTAACAATTATTGGTTAGTATTTACTTATTTATCTTATTTGCTTTTCAATATAAATGCAAAATAACTTTGTTATATGTATATATATATTTGCACTTAGATAGTCTAAAGACGGAAAGGAAGTTAAATGACCAACAGATCGATATCATGATTTAATCAAGAGTGCCCATTTTAGCCAAAAGCATTGTTGCAAACCAACACATCTCTACAATGCTCCCGTCCAAATACAGATTGAATTTAAAACGATCAAGAAGTTATTTCTTAAAAGGACACACAGGTTATTTATTATATGGGCTTTGTTTTTCTCATTTCACATGAGAAAAGGAATTCTCCTACACACACATGTTTAAGGTAGGTCCCACCATTAAGAAATTAAAATAAAAATAAAAAAACAATACACACATATCGATGTATGAGTGACATGAGAAATGTTTTCTCCATCAACATAAGAAATATTTTCCCTTATTATATATATAAGAAAGTTATTACATTACAATGTAATTTATTTATGAGCCGCTATTATGAGCTCAAATTATTGACGATACAACACAACACACTGAAGCCCGAACTTTGACGATAAATGTCATAACCTTACCTCAGGCACGGTAACCCACGTTGTCAGCCTTCAACGTATATATAAGAGCTGCACTACATTAGAACAAAATTAATGAGCATATATATTGTCACTTTATAGCAGCCAAATTTGATAACTATGAGCATATTGGTATTTACTTATGTGTTGAAGATAGCTAGGTACCTCAAGGGTTGACCTTCACGTGATGACAACGTGCGGGAATGGTGATTGCAACTTGTGGATTAACTCCAACTTTCTTGAAAGCGTCCGAAGAGAAGATAGCATGCATGCAAGGGATGCTTACTTGTCCCACTTCTTTGCAGCACTCAGCAGAAACTGGAGCCCACTCGTCACATGCTGTTTTTTTACAATGACGCAGCTTATGTGTTAACATTCTTTCTGTGCTAAACTTGCCACATGGACCATCTTTATGGTGTTCATGATCATGATCAGAATCATGATCAGCAACAGCCACAGTGATCAAAAGCAGCAGTATGACCCAAATGAACTTGTTCATGTTTGCTAATTATTAACTTGTATGTATTTCCTTAATGAAGTAGCTTCAATTAATCTTAGGCAGGCAACTCACACAAAACTCATTAGCATTAAGCTCTATATATATTGTCATTAGTAAAACAAAATAAGAGGCAATTGTTGAGAAAACCATGTTCTCAAGCTAGCAACTTGTTTATAATTCTCATTCTTTAATTTCTTGGGAGAAGAGTTATTGCTGGCAAGCTGCACGCAGATTCTTACTTTTCTCGAACAGTCTCAAGAAGCAGTACAATGGAATATCTTGAATCAGTAAACACCGCGCGAGTTTAGTCTTTCTTTATACGTGGTTGGTATTGTTGGGATATGTATCTACGTACTATGGGTTATGAATAAGCAGTGGATTCAGAAAGAAAAAAAAGAAAAAAGTTAAAAAGGTGTGTGGGTTATAAAAAGTCCCATATTGGACAACTAATAAGAGGGAAGAAGGTATATAATTTTCCACCTCACATTACTAAATTGCCCCTTGAGGCATTATGTAGAGGGAAGAGAAATTAGATGGCCTATGATCCACCACACGCAGTCGTCCAGCTAGCTCAGCTCGAATAAAAGTCTCAAATAGGGGTGTAATTAAGATTTACTATATTTTGTACATACATAATTATGAAAGAACAAAAGACTCTAGTGGACCTCTCAGTAGGATTCGACCACAGATGACGTTCTGACCATCTGTCAGAGAAAAAAGAACGGTTGGCTCTGTATCAATGGAATCTCATCATCCATACATAACGAATTGGCCTTTGATCCACCACACACGCAGCCGTCCAGCTCGGCTCGAATGAAAGTCTCAAATAGGTGTGTAATTATATCCACTAATAACCAACTAAAATTTTGTAAGATTTGTTTTTCTCAATATTTCGTACTGGATGCACGCCAATGGGACCAGTTCATCCTTCGGAACCATATCACATCCTGGATTTGATGAAATAGGATGAATTGAGACGGTATTTTGTAAATACATAATTATCTTGAATATATTAACTATTTCTTTCTTTTCCGATCGCCTGGAAAGAACAAAAGAAACATCTTGTTCTTTCTTCAACAATTTCTGAAGTGGAAAGAACCCCGGTTGGCTCTGTATCAATGGAATCTCATGTGGTAAAGGCCGTAATGCCAGAGGAATCATTACCGCAGGACATAGAGGGGGAGGTCATAAGCGTCTATACCGTAAAATCGATTTTCGACGGAATGAAAAAGACATATATGGTAGAATCATAACCATAGAATACGACCCTAATCGAAATGCATACATTTGTCTCATACACTATGGGGATGGTGAGAAAAGATATATTTTACACCCCAGAGGGGCATTGTTTCTGGTACAGAAGTTCCTATAAAAATGGGAAATGCCCTACCTTTGAGTGCGGTTTGAACTATTGATTTACGTAATTGGAAGTAACCAATTAGGTTTACGGCGAAACCTAGAAATCGATCACTGATCCAATTGGAGTACCTCTACAGGATAGACCTCAACAGAAAACTGAAGAGTAACGGCAGCAAGTGATTGAGTTCAGTAGTTCTTCATATAAGATTATGGACTCTAGAGATATAGTAATATGGAGAAGACAAAATTGTTTCAAGCACCGATAGAACCAGAAGCGCCCCTTGTTTCAAACAGGAGAGGACGGGTTATTCACATTTCATTTGATGGTCAGAGGCGAATTGAAAGCTAAGCAGTGGTAATTCTAAGGATCCCCCCGGGGAAAAATAGAGATGTCTCCTACGTTACCCGTACTATGTAGAAATAGCAACGTAATTTCATAGAGTCATTCGGTCTGAATGCTACATGAAGAACATAAGCCAGATGAAGGAGCGGGAAGACCTAGGATGTAGAAGATCATAACATGAGTGATTCGGCAGATTTGGATTCTTCTATATCCACTCATGCGGTACTTCATTGTGCGATATATAGAAGAATTCTACGATATATAGAAGATCCACCTGTATAGATATTATCATCTACATCCAGAAAGCCGTATGCTTTGGAAGAAGCTTGTACAGTTTGGGGAGGGGTTTTGATTGATCAAAAAGAAGAATCTACTTCAACCGATATGCCCTTAGGCACGGTCATACATAACATAGAAATTACATTCGGAAAGGGTGGACAATTAGCTAGAGCAGCGGGCGCTGTAGCGAAACTGATTGCAAAAGAGGGAAAATCGGCCACGTTAAAATTACCTTCTGGGGAGGTCCGTTTGATATCCAAAAACTGCTCAGCAACAGTCGGACAAGTGGGGAATGTTGGGGTAAACCAGAAAAGTTTGGGTAGAGCCGGATCTAAATGTTGGCTAGGTAAGCGTCCTGTAGTAAGAGGAGTAGTTATGAACCCTGTAGACCATCCCCACGGGGGTGGTGAAGGGAGGGCCCCAATTGGTAGAAAAAAACCCGCAACTCCTTGGGGTTATCCTGCACTTGGAAAAAGAAGTAGAAAAAGGAATAAATATAGTGATAATTTGATTCTTCGTCGCCGTAGTAAATAGTAGAGTAGATAAAATCGAATTTGTTTCTTCGTCTTTACAAAAAAAGGGAGTAATTAACTGTGACACGTTCACTAAAATATATAACTTTTTGGTCAATATATATATTCGTGTCTGTTCACAACACAAAGTACGAATAGTAATTGATAATTTTTTTTGATAAGGAGTTAGGATACTCAAACTTATGCTTTAGTGATTTTAATATCTTCTTCTATTTTTTTTTATACAGCAGGAAATAGAAATATTAGTCACAATATAGATTTCAACAAACTAAGTCAATGAGTCATAAAGATCTATTTATAATTTATATATAAATAAGAAAGGCACGCCTTATTATCCTTACTACTTTATAAATATACTGAATTACTTAAGAAAAAAAAAATCGTATGAATAAAAAAAAAAAAAAAGTATACAAATATGACACATCATTTTATGTATAGTAGTGGGGAATTATGGGACAAAAAGTAAATCCGCTTGGTTTTAGACTTGGTACAACTCAAAATCATGATTCTATTTGGTTTGCCCAACCAATCAATTATTCGGAGAATCTACAAGAAGATAAAAAAATACGAGATTGTATCGAATTTTATAGAAAAAAATACAAGAATTTCTTCCGGCGTCGAGGGAATTGCACGGATAAAGATTCAAAAAAGAATTGATCTGATTCAAGTCACAATCTATATGGGATTTCCAAAGTTATTAGTTGAGGGTAAGCCTAGAAGAATCGAAGAATTACAAATGAATGTACAAGAAAAAGTAAATTGTGTGAACCGAAAAATCAACATTGTTATTACAAAAATTGCAAACGCTTATAGACACCCTAATATTATTGCAGAATTTATAGCCGGACAATTAAAGAATAGAGTTTCGTTTCGTAAAGCAATGAAAAAAGCTTGAAATTTTTTTTTCTTTCCGCAAGAACCGGGAGATTGGATCTAGCCATAAGAAGAATTGAATGCTTGGCTGATAAATAACTCACTTCTTGGTCTTCGACCCCCTCAGTCACTACGAACGCCCCGATCAGTGCAATGGGATGTGTCTATTTGTCTATCTCTTGACTCGAAACGAAATGGGAGAGCAGGTTTGAAAAAGGATCTTAGAGTGTCTAGGGTTGGGCCAGGAGGGTCTGTTAACGCCTTCTTTTTTCTTCTCATTGGAGTTATTTCACAAAGACTTGCCATGGTAAGGAAGAAGGGGGAACAAGTACACTTGGAGAGCGCAGTACAACAGATAGTTGTATGCTGCGTTCGGGGAGGATGAATCGCTCCCGAAAATGAATCTATTGATTCTCTCCCAATTGGTTGGATCGTAAGTGCGATGATTTACTTCACGGGCGAGTTCTCTGGTTCAAGTCCAGGATGGCCCAGCTGCGAATTTCTTCTTTTTTTGTTTTATATTATCTTATCTTAGAATTCAATTTATATTCGAATTGAATAGAAATTGAATATAATTTATGATAAGAATATTAAAGTTAAAAGAAAAGATCTTCAAAGATAAGAATTATTAAAATTCGAAAATTATTGAATTATTATCAACTTCTTTCTACTTGTGTAAATAGACTGGCCTATCTCTTACCAGAGTCATGCTCATCTGACTCAAGCCCAAATCTAATTGATCCAGGCCCAACTCATCAAACTAACTCCTCCTCTTCACATGGGATCAAGCCACGTGGAACCAATCACAACAGATGAAGAATAACTAACTCAGCTCTCAGTTTGTTAGTTAGTTAGGAATTTGTTGTAAACCTTTAAGCTTTAATCAATGACTATATATCTAAACTATGTAATCGTTTTACAGAAGTGAATAAGAATGATTCATTTTTACATTTTGAGATGGTATCAGAGCTCTCATTGAGCTCTGGTATTCTGCTTTGAATAGTTCTTTCCTTTCGTTTGTTCTTACTTCGTTCGTTCGTTCTTCTTTCATTTTCTTTCTGATTTTCTTCAATCAGTTTCATGGCGAATCTTGTTCATGTTCCTGATCCACAAACTAACCCGTCTCATCCTTTGTTCTTGCATCCGAATGAAAGTCCAGCTTTAGTTTTGGTTTCACCACTCTTAAATGGTGAAAACTATCACTCATGGGCTCGAGGGATGAAGATGGCTCTAATTTCCAAAAACAAGCTCGGTTTCATCGATGGAAGCATTCCTACACCAGATCCAGATGAACCTATATTTTCTGCTTGGCAAAGATGTGATACGATGGTGATGGCATGGATTCAAAGATCCATATCAGCGTCCATAGTGAAATCAATTATTTGGATAGAACATGCTCGTGATACTTGGTTGGATTTACAAGAACGATTTTCGCAAGGAGATGTGTTTCGAATCTCCGATTTGATGGAAGAAGCTTTTCGATTACATCAGGGAGACAGATCTGTTGCTGATTATTATACACACCTCAAAACAGTTTGGGATGAGTTAGACAATCTCAAACCTCTGCTTAATTGCATCTGTGTTGTTCCATGTGTGTGTGGAGCAATCACCAGAATGAGAGAATATCGCGAGCAAGAACAAGTTATACGGTTCTTGAGAGGATTAAACGACCAATTTGCATCTGTAAGGTCTCAAATCATGTTGCTAAGTCCATTACCAAACATAAATAGGTCATTTTCACTTGTTTCTCAGCAAGAAAGGCAATTCAAATTGGATAATCATGTGCCTGATGCGAATCAATCATCTGTTTTTAATGTCACAAACCGAAGAGGAGGTCCTAGTTCTGGAGGTAGATTTAATGGCACATCTAACAATGGCAGAGGAGGTCCTAGTTACAGAGGAAGAGGTCGAAGTTTTGGAGGCAGATCTCAACCTAACCGCATATGCACTCATTGTGGCAGAAGCAACCATACAATTGAGACATGTTATCAGTTACATGGATTTCCACCAGGTTATCACACAGGCAATAGAACTTCTAATGCAAATGCTGCTAGCACAGATTCTCACAACTTCCATCAAGATGTTTCGGTTGCCTCCAATTCAGAACCTTACATGCACATGACCAAAACTGAATATCAACAGCTGATGGACCTTCTGCATAAGTCTCCTTCTACTGGTCCTCTTAATGCCCCTGCAACAAATCATGTGAGCAACATGGCCCAAGTTTCCAGCATAAACACAACCGAAAGAAACAACAAATCAGGTAGCCCAAATACTCACTGGATTGTGGACACAGGTGCAACAGACCACATCACACATTCTATTTCTGTGTTTGCTTCAATTCATGCTATTACTCCTCTTTCAGTAATTCTCCCAAGTGGATCTCAAGTTTATGCTCATTATTCAGGCACCATTCAATTAACTCCCGATTTAGTTCTCCATGACACACTATATATCCCACAATTTCATGTCAATCTGATTTCTGTATCAAAACTTATCACAACCCTTAACTGCTCACTCACCTTTGATTCTGAACTATGCTTCATCAAACAGATCCCATCACAGAGGATGATTGGTACAGCTGAAAGGAGAAATGGCTTGTACATGATAATCAATAAAGAGCCCCAACACACAAATAAAGCAGATGGCAGTTGTGGAGCTATCACAAGCAGTACAGATGAATCTGTCTTGTGGCACAGACGATTGGGGAACCTCTCAAAGAATGTTCTACATAATATGTCTTTGTATTTTCCCTTTATTCCTTCTGCACATGTAACTCCATGTGATGTGTGTCACTTAGCAAAACAACGAAGGCTTCCTTTTAATTCCAGTGAGACTAAAACCAATAGAGTGTTTGATTTGATACATACAGATATCCGGGGTCCATTTTCTACTACATCAATGAATGGTTATCGTTTCTTTCTTACTGTGGTTGATGATTACTCACGATTTACATGGATATTCCTTATGAAACACAAAAGTGAAACTCGTCAGCACATCCATGATTTTGTTGCATTTGCTGAGACACAATTTAAAGTTTCCATTAAATCCATCCGTAGTGACAATGGAATAGAATTTGCTATGACTGAATTCTATAAGAGAAAGGGAATTATTCACCAAACCAGTTGTGTTGAGACCCCTCAGCAAAATGGTTTGGTTGAACGCAAGCACCAACATTTGCTGAATGTATCCCGTGCCTTTATGTTTCAAGCTAATCTACCACTTCCATTCTGGAGTTATGCCATCCTCCATGTTGCTTATGTTATCAACCTGTTATGCTCCCCTCTTCTGGACAATAAAACACCATACCAGATATTATATGGGAAGGATCCTTTGCTGACACATCTAAAAGTATTTGGCTGTCTATGTTATGCCTCAACCCTGTTATCTCACCGCACCAAATTTACTCCTCGAGCCCGCAAGGCTGTGTTCTTAGGATTCAAAGAAGGAACAAAAGGCTATCTCATATATGATTTGAATTCCAGAGAGTTTTTCATTTCAAGAAATGTGGTGTTTTATGAGTCCCATTTTCCCTTTCATATACCTCATTCATCAGCCAACTCACCATCACATTCCTCTCACCCACACCAACCAAACAACCCTTTTTATGATGTTTTTGGTCCAAACATACAGCCACGTGACCCTCCAAATTAATTCTTACCTGCACCAGATGTCCACCCAACCTTCATCCAAACTCCAACTCATATCCCATCACCTATTCCACTCATCATAAACAATCCCTCATCAACCCACTTACCTGTCAACACCGAACCACATCAACCTCCAAACTTTAACACCTCATCTACTGATACTGATACATTGCATGAGACCATATCTTCAGATCAAGCCACGTCTCAGCCAGATGTCATCATGCATGCCAACCTTCACCGTTCCTCACGTGACCGAGTTCCTCCACGGTACCTTATTGATTATCATGTTGGGCTCTCCACAGCTACCAAAAGTCATCTATGTGATTCAACCTTTCCCACCAGGTACCCCTTATCTTGTTTTATCTCATATAATACTTGTACTCCCTCATATCAGCATTTTTGTCCCAACTCATCATCTCATATTGAGCCACGCACATACACACAAGCTGCCAAGTCCCAACATTGGCAGCAAGCCATGACAAAAGAATTGGATGCTTTAAAATTGAATAATACTTGGGTGATGGTACCCCTTCCTC